AAGGCCTTCAGCGGATTCTTCCTCGGGAAGCGTAGGAGCTTCGGTTCAGTGCCCAAGTCGAGGTTCGTAAGGTTTAGGGGTTTAGGGTTTAGGGGTTTAGGGTTTAGGGTTTCAGGGTTTGGGGTTTCAGGGTTTGGGGTTTGGGGCTCAGGGTCGAGGATCCTGCAAGGGGATTGGGGCTGAGGGCCTTCAGGGACCATGAAGGAAGACGGCTGGAATCCTTTTCTTAAAGGATCATGGGACTTAGTAAGTAGGGTTATAATTAGGGTAACTATACTTATAACCCCAATTAAGGGACTTATAACCTTACTTACTAAGTCCCATGATTCTCCAAGTAAGAGGTGATTCCCGGATCGAATCAAGGCTGATAGGGCCTGCGGTTAAGGTTTAGGGTTTTTGGGGTTTAAGGTTTCGGGATAAGGGGTTTCCGGATAACGGGGTTTCCATGGACTGTAGGATTTAGGTGTAGGCTTAGGGCCACGGATCCAGACGTTGAAAGCTTCAGACATTTGATGTAGAGGTTCAGGGTCGAGCAGATGAGGTCTAGGACAGGATATTGGGTACGGTTAAGATGATCCCTAGCAAAAACCTTCGGAATCAGTCTTGCTCTCAGCGCTACACTTGGGCACTTCGACAGGGACCCTGCCAATCATCTTTGGAAACAGTCTTGCTCTAAGCCGCTAAGCGCTATATGCCTGGTCCTATGTAAGGCTAAAGAAGACCAATGTCATGGGAACTAAACCCTAAACCCTAACCCTAGACCCCAAACCCTAAACCCTAAACCCTAAACCCTAAACCCTAAACCCTGAACCCTAAATCCTAACCCTAGACCCCAAACCCTAAACAATATTGAAACACCAAACCTTAACCCTAACAGCCTCCCCCCTGAACCCTGCCTGGAGCTCTGGCAACTCCACCGTAACGATGGGCAGCGTAGCCACGAGGCCATTGCGAAGCAGCAACACCAGGCCATAGTAGTACCTCGGAGCATCGCCAAACAGGGTTTAGAGGTGTAGAGCTTAGGGTATAGGTATTAGGATATCATGAACTTTCTGAAGCCTCGAAAACACTTGGCAAAGAGAAATCAAGCCTAACCTAATTCGCATGAGCTGAACATAACAGAAACAACCCAGATCCGAGCACCGAACCTTCCAATGCAAATCTCGGCACTTCTCTGGCTTGAACCGGTGGAACAGGAATCGGTAGCGGTTGACGCGACGAAGAGCTCGGCCACTGGCAACCCGCGATGGATACATGACGGTGGCATATGTCGCCCATGCGAGAATCGGCACCTCAGCGTTCGTCCGCATGGTTGTACGAGCGCTTTGAGGTTGATGCAGCTCCTGCTCTTCTCCTTGCTATTCCTGGCATTCTTGCTGTTGCGACTCGAAGAGCTACTGCTGCGGCTTGTCCTACAACTACAACTGCAAACTAGTATTGTTATTTTATATGTATTATATATATATATAT